GTCTCTGTGATGTGAGCTAAGGCTACAAATGTGCTTGCACAGGGTGGTAGTAGGGGGGAGGGGGGTTGCTTGCTCTCTTTGACCCTGTCATCACCATAAGAAGAATATGCTCCCAAGACCTTGCTGGTCCCAGAAGGCTTCTGGGCAGATTGCAATCCAATCTGTGCCATAGAGTCAAACACAACTGACATGGGCAATTCACAGATTCTTGGGTTAGAAATTAATACCTCTTATTGGAAGTTACTAAATATTGAAGATGTAAGGCAACGTGATCAGGTAATGATTGACTAATGGATAGATATTATTTTATTTAAAATGGAGTCATATCTTACTATTTTTAGTGAAACTATTATATATATATGTGTGTGTATATGTATATACATAAATATGTATCTTTACCTGGCACTTATAAACAAAAGATATAAATTTCAAAACAATCCCATTAAAGTTGAGATAAAATGTTATTGAATACACTGATAGACTGAAAGCATGGAATCATTTGCTAAGCACTGGCTTTTATTTCAGATAATATCTGACATTCACTTTTACAAAGATGGTACCAGCTCTCTGTCAACTTGACCCATCTCTGCAACACATCTGCATTTTTAATCATTATTTATTTTATGATTTAATAAACATTGACCAACAGTTAATATACATTTAATTTCTTGAAAAAAAGTAAAAACATAAAAACATTTAGTAACCATTTAATAAAAATTTTTTATGGTTATGTTTTAATAAACAATTTTATAATTTGAAGCTCTTTAGGAAAATTCCCTCCGTTCTTTGGGTTCCATTTCTTTCTGAACTTCATTTTGTCTCTGTGCGTGTGTATGTACATCTGTCTCTCTCCTCCTCCTCCCTCTTTCTCTTACCTCCCTTTTCCTTCCTCCTTTTTAAAAACAAGCTTGCATAATTCTCATACCTTTCATTGTTTTTCTTATCAAGTGTATAGTCCATAGTTTATGTCCAGACTAGCATCTACTCTGATAGGGGAAAGATGAATGCTTGATTTTATTTTTACTTTTCCAAAACTTTTTTGCCAAATTGAACTATAATTTAATGATTGAAAATATTTTAGTTAGTGTCTTATTTCTTTGGGAGGAAGGAGTTTGGGAACAACTGGGGGAAGGTACAGGGTTCATGAAGGAATTTTGCTCAGCGCCCTTTGTCCAGTAGTTTCCCTGTGACTAACTCTGGAGGAGGCTGGTACTCTACTCATAGAGTAGACCCAGGGGGCAGACAAAACAAGTTTCACATCTTATTCATAACTCAGTGTGAAGACCTTGAGGCAGTAGTTTCATCTGAGGGCATCCGTCCTAATTTCTCAATTTCCATGTTTCATCTGGATCTTCCCAGAAATCATTTTCCCTCTTCTTATACTCACAATACAGAGAAGATCATGCTGCCTGCTTGGTTACTCTCTTCAAAGTTAGTTGTATTGGTGAATGTGCTTAGAATTTTAATTCAGAACCATTTTTGGAAAGAGCCTCACTGTGAACTACGCTTTCATTCCTAAACTCTCGTGCTCTGAAGTATATAGCATGAAGTCTCTCTCTTTCATTGAGTGCTATTAGGAAATTAACTTTCTGTTGGAATTTCATTTTTGCTATTGAGCTCCCCTTCATTATTTTTATTCTGACTTTAGCAAATATTTTAATATTATAAATTGTGATAAGTATAATTGAATTTTTATTCATTTCTTGCTACTGAAATTAGCTATTTCTATTTTATTCTTACAAACTGAACTGTAAATGACCCTGCACAGCATATGTGTTCTCTACTTCAATCTTGTTACAGGTTAATTAATGATTTCATTGATGTTATTTAGTAGGAGGAGGACTATGAGTATTTTACCCACTGACATCCGACCCCAGTCTCCTCCGTGAGGTTAAGGTCTTCCAATAGAACTTAGATATAAAATATGATAATTTTCTAGTCTAATTTAAAACAATTCTCTATACATATTTTTCATCATCTAAGAAAAAAATAAAATGAGCATAAATTTGGTAATAATCTTAAATCCAATTTATTAGTGACTATTCCACTGAGAGGTTTAAATTTCAACTCTAATTAAAGAGCTTAGTATGTATTAGATCCTTAAGTGACATCTGTGAAATAGTCAACTTCATGACAGCCCAGTAAGTACACTTCCTGAGACTCAAAAGATCCCAGGGCTGGGGTAAATTAGTTTTTATGCAAAGAAGTATCCTGCTGGAATTGCTGATGGACCAGCTACAATGATATTCCAAGAAAGAGACATTTATATGAAATAATTTTTGTATGAAAATCACCTTATTGCTAGAGTAACTAAAATGTCTATATATTTAATAATAGTAAGAAATAGGTGAATTTTGAGAAGGAATCCCTTCAAAATCAGGAAAAGAAGATGCACTCCTATTTTCTTATGACTAATTTAACAAAGAATATCATTAATATATCCTAATCTAGATACTAACTTTTTAAAAGACAATAACTATGGTACTAGTTATCTTTCGAATTTCCAGAGTGACAATCTTAATTTCAAATGTGTTCACAAATCAGCAACTATCATGTACATTGAGGGAAAATAATTTATTACAAGGAGAGTAGAAATTATATGAATAATTCATTGACTACAATGTGATTTGCTTTATCTTCAGTCCTAAAGTATGATCTGAAAACTTGGTTTGGCCAGAATTTGAACAGAAGTCTAAGAGGGGGAATTGAATGTGCTTCATCTAGCTTAGCTCATCACAGCCCAAAGGACTACCACTGTGATGAGTAAGGACCTGACCTTAAACCAAAAATACAAAAAGAAGAGATTTAAATTGACCAATTTCATGTAGAGTGTCCTTAGAAGTTTACCGGTAGACACAATTCTTCAACCAATGAACTTTGATTATAATCTTATATTTTGGTGGCTTAATGTGGATGATTTGCTAAATCAAAATCTTATTCCATTCCATAAAGCTTATCTGTTTTGATGCTATATTTTGTCATCATTGTGGAACAAAGGCCTACAAATTATTGTTAACAAGACGTAAAAACTTGTTGCCATCTTAACTGGCATAATAATAAATCACTGTGATTTGTTTTTAAACTGTCTTTTATCCAAAGATACTTAAGTACTTTGTAATGATTACTTTTGTGGAAAGTTTTTCATCTTAATTTTTGCAGCTGGAAGTGGCATCAGGAAGTGAATGTGTGACAGGACTGCACAATTGCTCCATATCACCCAGATGTGTAAAAATATTTGGGGAAAATGACAAGTTCATATTTGGTTTCCATTCATGTGCGAAAGCAAGCTATTTTACATGTACATGCGCCTGCTTTTAAATTTAGCTATAAAAATTCCTGATTAAACAAAGCCCAGATTCTCTTTTCTATAAACATAAAGCAAGCTTTATTTTTAGCTTTTAGCTGCATCAAAGGTGTTTCCCAATGTCCATTTAGGAAAACCTATACCCTAGGTGCCCAGCCAAATCCTGAGATCAAAACAGGTCCTGAAACCCTCCACTCTCTCTCCACACACTATTGCTATTTTCATCAAGCATAATGGGAGATGCATGAAGTTACTAACATGCCACCTCGTAATCCTGCAGTTACAGCTGACCACCTGTTGCTTCAGACACTTCAGTACTTTGAGGAGGATCGGCTTGACCCTTCCGGCCCAGCTCCTCTTCCCAACTTGCCTGAGTAGCCCTCAGTCCCATAATCATTCCACAGAAATAAAGTCATCTCACTAACCCCCAAAACAACCTACGTTTTCACATCCAGTACTGCTCAGTTAATTTTGAATAAGAAAATGAAGGCATCAATATCCAGATTACTTTTCTCAGATCTCTTAAGCTTTTGGTTGGATGATGATATAATTTATAGCTGTTTAATCATGTGTGACCCATGGTTAAATACCTGAATGACATCCTGATATTATTATAGAGACAAATTCCTGATATTTCTCAGAAATTCAGTTTCCCTTTCCCCCAAATCACTAAAATTGTATTTTTTGGCTGCTTAATGAGTTAACCATAGGATTGGTCTGTGGTATGAAGAAATGTACATCATTGCTCTAAAATGTGAGAGTATAAGTGGCTTTGAAGTCTTCAAGCTTTCAATGCAGTAACTAATTTTACAACATCATCTGAGTGCTACGTAGTTCTACTTCTAGCTCTATTCTTCATCTACTAGATCATGAATAATTTAAACTAGATCATCTTCGTGATTTCTTCCAGCCCTTAAATTTAAGGCTTTGTTTGCAGAGAGGGAAGATACTGCTCACTGTGTCCGAATTATGTTGGATATTCACGTACCACATCTGCCTTCCAGGAACTTTTATTAATTAGTCCAGATGCTAACTTTTGTAACAGTGAAGACTATTTCCTTCAAATAAACAGCTTCTACATTCTTCCTACAAGCAGAACTGACTGGTGCTCATAACCAAACTTCATACATCTTGCCTTGATTATTGTGTTTTGTGAGTTCACCACTTGTCTTAAAATTGTATTGCAAATTACTAGAACTTTGGGGATGTGGCGTTCCCATTAAAGTAGCCTCTGTTTGCATTAGCTGATTTAGCACTCCGTTACTAAAAGTGGAGTTCAAGAGTGAGTAGTGTCAACACTACCCAGAGTTTGTCCAAAATGCAGAATTTGGAACCCCCATACAGATGTCGTGAATTGGAATTGGTATTTTAACAAGCCCTCCAATGATTTACATCTACATTGAAGTTTGAGAAGCACTGATCTCATAGAGTTATCAAAATATTGCTGTTCCTTGAGCTTGTGGTTGGTGACAACCATCACTTGTTTTACAAGTCAGAACTCTTAACTCCTGTGTTGATAAAACTGATTTCTAAAACAGAAATGCCTGATTTTATATTGTAAGGCTGTCAGGAATATCCTTTTTAATTTTATGATATTTTATTAGGCAATTTTTCAAATATGCCAGTACAGTTAAAAGAATTATACAGCGACCACCCATACGCTCACCACATACGTTTTATAATTTTTTTCTTCTTCATGTGGAGGGAATTTGTTCATAAGGAGGCCACAATTTATATGCCCCTCATCACAATGACCCCAGATACTTGATGGGTGTGTTATAAACAAAAGAGCCGTTCTTTAGCTGCCTGCTCTGAGCACAGCCCTAAGACTGTCAGTAATATATGGGATACTATGAACCACCCCCTTTCTTGAAACACTCTTTTTTTGTTTCCTAGTAAATCTGGATTCGTGGTTCTTTTTCATCTCCAGTCTCTAGTGCTGCCTGCCATCTATTCACTTGCTTCTCTACGTGCTGCTCCTGACTCACTCCCTGCCCTCCCATGACTGCATCTACCCGCCCTATGCTGGCCACTTCATCCTCTGTACCCCAGCGTGGCTCTTGTTTTTGAGCTCTGGCTCACTTCACTGGAATCAAGACCTGAATGTTCTCCCGAGTTCTTGTTTACTCATTCCCTTTTTCACATCTGCTCCTCCTCTCTGGGTACTGAGTTACTGACCCCTTTTTTACCCACTCCCTTTGCTTCACCTCAGGTCACCAATTACATTTCTTCCCCCCCCCCTTTTTTGAGATAGAGTTTCACTTTGTCACCCTTGGTAGAGTGCTATGGCATCACAGCTCACAGCCACCTCCAACTCTTGGGCTTAAGCAATTCCCTTGCCTCAGCCTCCTAAGTGGCTGCGACTACAGGTGCCTGCCACAGTGGCCAGCTGTTTTTTCTTACAGTTATCATTGTTGTTTAGCTGGCCTGGGATGGATTTAAACCCTACACCCTCAGTGTCTGTGGCTGGCGCAGTAACCACTGTGCTCCGGGCACCCAGCCTACATTTCTTAACTGATCTTTCTTCTTGCCCAGGATTATTCTCCTTGCACTTTCCCCTCTCCAGTACTTTTCTCCCACCAAACACACAAAAGACTATCTACTGCTGCAAAGATGCATGTAGAATACAGATGCCTCCCTTCCTCCAAACCCGCTAGATCACACATGCAGTAGGAAAGTTCTCTCTGGATCTTCTCACTTTACTAAACCTACACCTGGCTCATTTCTTCACCACGAATTCCTTCTGCCCCACAGCTTCAGAGGTCTGTTTATTCAGCCCTCAATGCCTTTCCTTTTTCTTGTACTGTAGAAACCCATGCACCCTTCCAGACCCAGCTCCGATGTCACTTCCTTTGCAATGCTGTCACAGTTCTTTAATGCTCCTAGGGGTACACTTCACAGGTTCCCTTGTACAGCAGATGTGTTGTTCTGTTTTGCAGGAGCTTTGGAGTCAGCGCTCAGTTCTGGCACTGACCACATGACCTTTGGCCACTCATTAATCTCTTTGGATGTCTCAGATTGCTCAGGCCTAAAGCAGAGATCAGAGGACATCTACCTTACAGGACATTGTGTGTGGATTATAAAGTGTTATTATCAGTTTTCTTTATGCAAATACATTCTTTCTTTTTGCCTCCTTTGAAAGAGGATATTCCTGCGTTTCTGTGCTCTTCTCATCAGTCCCATTGTCCTCATTTTTGTCATAGTCATACGAATGTGTCTCACAATCCTTTACCATTCCAGCCCAGTTTTGTCCATTGCCCATACTCTGTGTACTCATATACAGATATTTCAGTCAAGAAGATGTTCTGACCTGTGATCCTGGGTAGTTGGCCATGTACTTTTCAGAGTAATCTGTTTAATCTCTTGCTATTTAAAATGCAAGCTAATTCAGCCTTGTTGCCAACTCAACTGCCAGAGATGTACTTTGAGGTAGATTCCGAAGTTACCATAAAGGTGAAGAATAAATTCAATTTTGGCTTTGGAAAACAATTCATCGAGGACTTCTCCATTAAAATACATTTCCCCCATCTTACATCTCAACGGATTTGCTTAATAGTTCCTTCAGATTTAAAATTTTGATTACTGATAATGTGCTATTAGAAAGTGACTGTTTTTCAGGGGCTCTTGTGTCTGAATTTATTATACCCTTCCATGAAGAAAGTATTTTAGATCTGAATCTTAGCAATCACGATGGAAATCAGGGACAAAGCAGGATTCCATTATAAGGTTGCCTCTGAAAGCTTAGTTTTCAAGTGGAGTGTTTCCCTGTTCTACCATTCTACTGCAGAAATCTGTTTATGTATTTTAGTACCTAGAGCAAGGGCTCTTAGACCGAGGCCCATTGATGTACTTGAAATTATCTGTGAACATCATGACGTTGTAGGTAAACATTGTGCGATGGACAAATGAATATTTTTCTAACATCCTCAAAGAGCTTCTTGATCCGAGTTATGAATCAGTGATGTCCTAAATAAAGGGAGCTAGAAGCCAGGGTGTTAACAACTTCTGAAATTCTAAATTTCTGATGAATAGTGATAGAAATAAGCTTGATTCTGTGATTATAGTACCCAGTAGACGGCATCTGTTGAAAGGAGGCCACACAGCAGGAAGCAGAGTGTCTCACTGAGAGATTATCTCTTTTATCAACAAGACACTGTTCACTTGTCTTTCAGTCCTAGGGAATGCAGACCCACAAAGAAGTGCCTGTGGGAATCGGGCTAGCAGCCTAAAGACGTTTAAACCTTAGAGCTTATGACTGCTTCAGTGCACCAACCTACAGCAAGGTGAATTTGACTTCCTTGCGGAACTGCAGGAAGATTCTCATGGATTAGGTTGCCAGATGCATGTCAGTGATAATTACTAAGAAAGAA